TACGTGATGAGCTTAGCTGGCTTCGCCCGATTGAGTTGATCTGCGGTGGCACCAAAGGTTGTCCAAGAATTGCGCTTCCCTTCCGAGACTCTCGCGCACGTGCCGATGTCCTGGAGAGTTCGCGGCCTGAATAACTACCACTGCCGAGCTTCGCATCGCTCCGTCCCTGGTCGGAATCTCCGTTCTCACTCTCCTGAGGGCTGTCGAGTACGTTTTCTGTCCAGTGGAGATTCTTCCCACCATTTGTTCCAGGCCTCGGTCTCCTATTGAAGCTGACCAATCGATCCTCATCCGCGGTAGTGTCGTCGTTTCTAATTTCCTCAAAAACTCTTCTTTTATCGAACTTGGATAGATTGCTTTCGAAATCGAAGTCGCCCATCTCCTGGATATCCGTTGCGTCCTCAGTTGCCCAGCCATTGGGATCTTCAGCGTACCCACGACCCCTCTTCTTGCGACGTCGTCCAGTAGAATCGGGAAAACCTTCCTTGTATTTTTGTGGGGTCTTAAATTCAAATGTGTCGGCCGGCTGGACAAATGCAGTCTGGCGCCAGCCCTTGGTTTTCGGATTTGTATTATTTGCCCCATCGTGCTCATTGCCGGCAACATTTTGAGGATGTCCTGTCCGACCACTCCGGCGGCTTCGCTTAGTCGTAAATTGTGAAGCGGCTTGCAGCGGTGCCAAGCCTTCATTGCCATCCAGCGCATCATGCGGCTCTTCCGTCTGCGGCGCGACCTTAGGAGCCTTAGCATTGTTGTCAACGTTCAGCTCCAGATTGCTGAATGGCTCTGTTAGGGCAGCCGAAACCGTCGCGTCTCCATAATGAGCTTGTTGGGAACCCTGAAACTGCTGGGCGCTCAGCACATTCGGAATGGGCTGGCTCTGCAAAACAGGCGGACTGAATGATTTGGAAGGCGGCTTTCCATAGCTGACAATCGCCGGATCAACAAACGATTGTTGAGTTGGAGTTACAGATGACTCGCGGGCATGTTGGTTTTCTAGGTTGCTATAGGTGGTCTGCGTCTTAGAAGGCCCCAGAGAGAGATCTGCAATGTCGGGAGCTTCGATGGAATAGGTAGGCAATTGTTGGCCGGTCCATGAAAGTGTCACTGAGAACCACAGTTAGATCGATACCCCTCAGTCTGATCAAGGCAAAGACACATACCGTCTCTTAGCATCAGACGTTGACCAATGACGTTGGCCACTACTCCTTGAACGCTTGCATTCGGTGGTGCTCTAAGCGTCACGAAGACATTGTAGCCAATAAACTCTGACGCCATGCCGCAGAACAGATATTAATCACGCATGTATCGCTCTTCTGATGTTTGAACAGCACGGAGGCTGCGAGAGAAGGTGAGGGGAAGTAGAGGAAGAAGGTCGTTGTACAGCGTCGCAAAAGTGAATTGTCAGGTTGCAGTCGCCTTGGATAACATCACGTGCAGAGTATCTTATCGATAAGCAATATGTGGGGCTGCAGAGCTATGCAGCCAGCATATTCATGTTGGACGGCGAAAGCTTGTCTTGACTTTTGTGTCTCTTCAATCAGTCCAGTAGGAAAAATCCTGGTTTTGGCAATTTAAAACAAGTCTACTGTTGTCCTTGATTGACCTAGATTGACTTTGATAAGTGCTTGGGAGAGATACCAGTGTCTCCAGAGACCAGATTCAACACCGTACACACAGTATCTAATAAATAAGTCCATTGAACATCACCCGGATATCGATATTTGCACCTTTCCTCGAAGATAAATAGCCCATAATAATAACATGCAGAAGAGATGGATGACGGAAGGCTAGACCATGCCGCTGGCATCACAGAAATTCCACGTTGATATTGTATACCACTCAACCGTATAGATGCTGCAAGAGCTCTTCGTCATCCAATTGACCGTCTTCATCAACTTCTTGATGCTCGCGAGGCTTTGAGCTCTTCGGAGCAAGAACATCGCTAATACTAACAAGGTTTGAGTAGAATTCTGTGACCTTAGGATGTACCATGACCTTGCGCGCGTCGAATCTGGTGACTTGAAGACCAGCTTTCGAGGTTGCACGACTCAAAGCGACATAAGCCTGTCCTTTTTCAAATACCCGCCCAAGATCGACCTTGACACGCTGCAAAGTCTGCCCTTGCGCTTTATGGATGGACAATGCCCATGCGAGGATCAACGGTACCTGTTGGCGCTGGGCTTGCACTTCGCCGTTCGGAAGCTCAATCTTCCAAGCCTCTGGTTGGCAGAGCAAGTGCCGCTCCGTTCCATCTGGCTGGACGAAACAAACAAGAGGCCATTTTCGACTTACCACAACGCCTCCATCCTTGTTACCAAGACCCTTCAGCTTCTTGCGAGCGTGGTTTAGTCTCTCATCGTCACTCCCAGCATCTTGCCCATCGGCGAACTCGCTCTCATTGTCGCGATAGTATTCGAATGTCGCTTCATCCATGAAGGCGACAACTCGCCCAATGGAGCCGTTGACAAGCGAATCTTCCATATTTTTGATCAGCATTACCTGCGCACCTTTCTTTAGGTGTATAACAGGTGGTGCCATGCAATTGGCCAGCAATTTTTCTCGAAACTGGACATCTTGAATTGTCCCTGAGTCAACTGCGTGAAAGGTCATTGTCTCGCCAGAGAGCCTGCTCATCCGTGCGCTGTTGGCCTGTTCCACTTCTTGACGAGTAGGAAATCTGAGAATAATATGTTAGTCTCATTACCGGCTGGGAATAACTGGGATAACTTACAATTCCGTCGCTTCAAGTGCATCATGAAAGTTCAGCGGACGGGACAGTGATTTGAACGTTTCGATTGTCCGAGGGGTCAGTTTACCCAATCTCATTTCGTTGAGCATTTCGGCGAACTCAGGGTCCTTTTGGCGGAAAACATGTGTGAGGAGAATGGTATGCTGGATCGATGTATTCCAAGTAGCCGCTGCAAAGGCAAACTTCGCCTCTCGGTTACTACCTTCAGGTACTGGAGGCAACTGAAAGAAATCGCCAGTAACGACGAGTTGAATGCCTCCGAATGGGCGACCATTATTTCTGATTCTCCGGGCGATTTCTTCAAGCTTGTCGAACAAGTCACCATCGACCATCGACACTTCATCGATGATGAGCACCTTGGTCCGAAGCCAGCGATTCCGTGCTTTCTGATTTCTCTTAATCTGTAATTTGACCGTTAACGAATATTACCAAAGCAGAGGCAGAGAACTGTCTAACTTTTTTGACCAACTCTGGAACAGGCTCTTTACCCAGCCCAATTCCTGCAAAACTGTGCAGAGTGACACCCTCGATGTTACAGGCAGCAAGACCAGTAGAAGCTGTGACTGCCACACGATCCGGCTCCTTTCGATATTTGCTCCGTAACTGTTTGATGATTTCTCTCATAAGCACGGACTTACCCGTACCGGCAGAACCGGTAAAGAATATGCTTTTGCCTTGGTTAACGACCGTGTCGAGGACATGACGCTGCTCATCACTGAGAAATAAGGACGCAATTTTTGGACGAGTTTGAAGTTGCTTGGAGTTTGTATCGCCTTTTTGGTTTCTCTTATGCTGTCGCCGCAGCTCTTTTTGCTCTTCCTTGATCGCACTGGCGGACTTGTTCCAGATAGCAGTGGGCTTGGGGCGAGCGGGGGTTTCTGGCTTCTTATATTCCTCGACTTTTGACGACTCGTCGTTCTTGGTGAGCCATGGTAATGTTCGACTACTATTCGGTTGCTGGAGGTGGTGAGGGGGCGAGGACGACCATGGAATCTGAACGCTACTCGACGGGGGGACGTGATCGTTGGAGACAGGAGGTAATTCAGGATATTTTATATCGGAGGATATCAAATCAACTGTGACTCTTTCCGCGCTTTTTGAAACGTTGTTTCCCGTTGAATTGGCATCCGACGTCACAGTAGCTTGGCCTCCAATGCTCGGTCTCACAATTTTCGTCGGCGGAATGAAGGGTTCGGGTTCTTCAAAGTCCAAGTCTACATCATCGTCGAAATCATTCTCATCGAAGTAAACAGCACTGTGTAGGGTCCCTAATGCAGATTCTCCAGCACTGCTCATCTCGATTTTTCGTTTAACGCCTATAGATTGTAGAGGTGGGGTCGGCTTCGGCTGTACGATGCCATTGCTGCGAAATAGATTGGACTGAAGCGGCTTCACAGGACCTGCGGAGTGGTCTTTCACAGCCTTCTTGAACATAGCCGCTTCCTGGTTCGCTCCCAAAGGTCGAGCTGTTGAGTAACGAGCAGTACGCGAAATCAGTTTCGGACCATATATGCAGTATTGGCGGAGTAGAACGAGGTCTCTTTTTGTAATTTTGGACACATGCATATAAACCTCGCCCTGTATGTGATGAAGATCCGTCAAATGAAAGAAAGACTGCAAAAGTCGATGATAAGGATGGTTATCTGGAACTTTTCGCGACCCAAGTCGCGCGTTTCAATCCGCAATGCGGATAGAACGCGCTGCATTATCGCACGTGACATCGATAAGGACTTGATTTTGCTTATCCGCATTGATAAGGCATCATTGTCAAGCGCTAGTTTTGCACCTCTGCAATGTCTCCCCCAAAAGCCCAATTATCCACTACTGTTATTGAGGTAGCCTGGTGCTGCTGAATATCGTAGCTACTCCTTGATGTGATAGCACCATTGAAGAACGGACTCCTACTTGAGTTCGCCCTTACATACATAGAACAATAAGATGTATACTCCGTACTCAACCAATGACGCAAGTCGTATTACTTTCCAGGACCATCCCCACGATTGTTCGAAACCCAGGAAGCAACTCAAAATCAAGTGGTCAATCCATTGAAGCCCTTCTGATTTAATCAGTCTTAAGGAGTAGACTATATATCCGGCCTTGATAATCCGAGAGTCACCAACATAAGGGTCCACATCACGTGATCACGCATTTCCCGACGCGCGCGAATCAAATAATGCGGAGTTTGGAAGTCTCGGTCCATTTCCAAAGCCCAACAGGCCTTGCAATCCTGCTTTGCCAATCATGAAGCATGGCACAGAACTCAACTTCCAGTAGGTACACCCTCAGACCAGTGTCCGTGACTGTGGCACTGCTAATATTGCTTCAGACAAGGAACGCCCTCTTGCGGGGGTGGTCCTCTGCTTTACCTCTATTCTGCCAGAACAACGGGTATGCGCAATTCCATGTTCAATTTGTCCAATTGGCAATACCGGCACAATCACTGACTGTCGGGGTCCTATAGACTGAGCTGGCCACAATTGCCAGTCAGATGGGAGCAGCTCACAAGTTCGACCTCACGTCCGATGTCACACATTTGCTTGTCGGCGAGATCAATACCGCGAAGTATAAGTTCGTCGCACGGGAGCGAAGTGATGTTGTTGTTCTCAAACCGGAATGGGTTGAGGCAGTACGGCAGTCATGGATGCAGGGTGAAGACACCGATATTCGGGCGTTAGAGCAGCAATATAGACTACCAACCTTCATGGGATTGGCTATCTGCATAACAGGCTTTGAGGATAGTATGAAAATCGTTCCGGCGCTTCCATCTGCTGATAAGGCTAACGGTCATTGTTAGTGGCTTATCGAAATTACATTCAGGATACTGCTGTCGCGCATGGCGCTGACTTTAGGAAAGACCTCACGAAGAGTGTGACCCATCTCATCGCGCGCAATACAGAGGGCCAAAAGTACAAATTCGCAACACAGTGGAACATTAAGGTCGTAACGATGAAATGGTTCACTGACAGCATCGAGCGTGGCATGGTTCTTGAGGAAACTCTATACCACCCTCTTCTACCACAAGAACAACAGGGTGTGGGCGCATGGAATCGCACAGTACCACCAGCCAAGGAGAAAGCTGCAGAAGCCGAGAATTCATCCAATCCCCGGCCTAGGAAGCTGCGCAGGATCGCAAGCACCAAGCTCGTTGACCAGAACGAAGGGATTTGGGGTGCTATCGTGGGTGCAGGATTCGAGAACAACGAGCTGAGACGGTCAACGAACAGCCAACCGAAGAATGAAGACGTCACATCCTCGAAAATCACGAGAAAAGCATCCGTTGTACAGGAAGCTAAGTCCTTCGCCAGCGAGACGACGTTTGCGGAGGCCCAGGGATCTCGTCAAGACACTTCTGAAGTGAGACCCGCTAGCAACAATGGTTTCCTGGATGGCTGTTATTTCTTCATATATGGATTTTCTCCCAAGCAGGTTTGTACCGCTAGCGTCTGTCCATGTTCTGATCTGACTGTCCCAAGACCAGTGTACTGCATCACCACCTTTCATACAATGGAGCTCAGCTCGTGAGTTCTTTAAGCGAGCTTTCGCGCCCAGAAATACCTAAAAGAGGGCATGGACTCTACAGGATAGTGTCGTATAAGACGCCACGGTCTGAGATCCCCTCTACGGATGATCTGGCGTTCGACTGTGACGTGGTGACCGACATGTGGCTGGAGAGATGCCTAGAGGCGAAGACCCTAGTGCCACCCGAATCTCATATCGCATGTACTCCCTTACCTGTATTTCCCATTCCAGGTTGGTATCACATTTGAACGACTTGAAACGTCCACTGACGGAGTTAGGATTCCATGGGATGAAAATCTGCTCGACCGGGTTTTCTCGCATTGACCTGCTGCATTTATCAAAGCTGATTGACTTAATTGGTGAGCCACTAGAATTGTATCAGCTTTAACGGATACTGACCATGTAGGCGCTACATATGACGAGTACCTAACGCCGAAAGCGTCTGTTCTGGTATGTAATAACTCGTGCTCAATGAATAACGAAAAGCTGCGACACACTTCCGAGTGGAAAATCCCAGCAGTCACAGTAGATTGGCTCTGGTCCTCCATCCAATCAGGACAGAGAAAGGCATTCGAACCATATATTATACAGAGGTTGTCGCAACCTGAAAAGAGCTTGGAAGTGCGAGCCGGCTCTCGCACGGAGCAAAAACATGTATCCGAGTCCTCTGATAAGCCCAACAAGACTGCGAAGCCAGACTCCCGTACTACGGAATCAAAGAAACATGGTATGAACGGGTCCACCAAGGGCACTCCTGTCGAGAAGCCGTCCAAACCCAGTAGCGAAGATGAATCAGTGAAGCCACCACCTACATACAAACGACCATCACAGTCAGCATCAGTCTCACCTACCAAAGAAACCAGACCACCAAACACAGCCTCGCCTTCAAACAAACGAAAAGCATCAGACCATGGCACAACCTCCGCACAAGCCGCAATCGAACTCGCCGTAAGCGGATTTCTCAAGCAAGCACGAGCAGCAAACTCGCGCTCAAAATCCGATACAACAGACCAAGAAAGCGATAGCCTCCGCCGAAGGCGCCGGAAACCGCTCCTCGGACGAGCACCATCCCACTCCTCCGCACAGGGCGTCTTCTCCCGCGCCAGCTCAATCGACACACTCAATGAAGACGGATGCGGCAGTGCCGTGGAGAGCATCAACACAGAGGGCTTCAACTCGTTCCTTACAGGCGGGCGATTCGAGCCCTCGGAATCTCAACGTCGCATTGAGGAAGAAGAGAATGAGGAGCCTGCAATGACGCAGCTGAACTACGAGGATCCAGATGCCGTCAAAATGCGCGAAGAGCTCTTTAGTCACGCTGGCAAACTGTCCAATAAGACGAAATCTGCCGATCAGGGCGTGATTGTTGGTGAGGTCAGGGAATTGGAGGATATTGGCTGGGGCACTGGTCGGAGGACGCGGAACGCGGTTAAGGATTCGGAGGGTGAGTTGTAAATGAGGTTCATGATCTGGTCTGATTTTATATGAGCTTTGCATCGCTTTTGGTGTCTATTTTTTGGTTTGTCCGGTGCATTGCATGGTATAATGGCGTCTTTTGTTCACTCGAGATTCGGGACATTAAGATTCACACCAATAGCGTCCACGGGGTGCGGATGTTTGCTCTCATGATTTGACGCCCGAAACTTTTTTGGCCTAAATAAATAGGGAGTATTATCCTCTGGAGCTCAAAGATGCCTCGCCATGCGCATTAGGCGAGAGTATTATTAGTACTAAGCGATATACACCGTCACTGATTGGCGTATACGACATTGTCTACAGTGAACGAACGAGCAACGCAGAGTCGCCACTGTCATAAGAGACGGGGAAGGATTCTCAAATTAGAAGTAAAATCAGGTACATTTTATAATAAACAAAGGGCTCAAGGGTACGCCGTTGGGGATATCTAGTAAGCAAAGATGGAATGGCGGCCGCTACGCTATTGATCAGCCGTAGAGACTGTATAGCGAAGGAGAACTCTTTCAGAACCCCAGGGAAATGGGTGCGGACAGGGAAAGACTGTACAGGAGTTTGAACAAGCGGAAGATGTATGAGAAGGGAAGGAGAAAATGCAACGACATGAGTCAAACAGGGGAAAAGAAGGGCGAGATTCACGTAGCGTCATAATGTTTGTACAGACAAGGACTCAGCCTTGCACGGCGGCCAGACCTCCAGGCAAGGGGGCGTCAAGATCAATATCCTCAACGGACCGTCGGTTCTCGCCACTATCCCGGAAGAGGTTTGAGAAGTATTTGCTTGCGACCTCGCTCTCGTGTTTCGTCTTGCTGACCTCCTGCTTACGTCTTCCGAGGTCCTCAATGCCTTGAGCGAGGCTGGTCTGCAAATTGCCGGCGGGTATACGGAGGATGCGGCGGACCTCAGTCGAGATACGAGTGGCATTGGAGTGCACGTAGTCCATTTCGGACAGAGTAGCAGCAAGCTTGCGCGAGAGGCGAGGGGGAAGTGTATGCGGGATTGACGAAAGCATGTAAGCAGTGGTCAAGACGGCTGTTGAAAGTTAGCTCGAGATCGCGTATAGCAGAATTGAAGACAGGAAACTGACCAGCAGCGACGATACCAGGTAGGAGGAGACGCCGCAAGTTGTTAGGCCCAAGGATTTTGGCGGCACTGAGCATGCTGTCTACCCAGCTGCCTCCGAAGGCTCGACCACCGAGGACTGTCACGGCAGTCATGGCAATTCCAGTGCCAGCCATCTTCTCCTGCCGTTCCCACAAACCGGTAATATCAAAGAAGTCCCAGATCTCCACCTCAGTGTCGACCTGCCTAGCTAGGGTGTGGCGGCGACCACGGCGGAACATTGCATCAGCACGGAAGTTCAATGGAGCGAACTTGTCCTCTCCAACATGCAGCAGACCAATGTTCTGAATGAATCCCACGCCTTGAACAGTCTTTGCCCGTGCGTAGTCCTCGCAATCAGCGACGGATGTAGCGATCTGCTCCAGCATTGCTAGTTTGAGATCCTCAGCGTACTGGAACGCAGAGAACAGGCCAGGGTACTCAACCCCTAGGTCTGCCTCGGACACTCGGGAGATGGTGTCCGTTAATGTTGAACGCGTATGGTTGTAGACATCCTCGCACGAGTCGTCAATACACTTTTCAACTTCATCACCGAGCTCGACCTGTTTCTTCTTGCCATTTTCAAAGGCAGGCTCAAGCTCAGCGAGCTCGTCGGTAACGCGCTTGAGTTCCGACTGAGCGATGTCACGATTAACAGCTGCTAAGGAATTGATATCCGCAAGCAGGTTGAGAAGATACGTTCTCGCAGGCGCGAGCTTGGAACGAGCGCGCTTCTCCAGGACAAATCGTCTGAGAGAACCCTCCAGGTTCTCAAAATCTCGAATCTTCTCCCTCTCCTTTCCTTTGTCCTTCCCTTTATCGTCAGACTGGTCGTCATCATCATCTCCATGAGGATCAGAACCTCCACCGCTGCCACCACCAGACTGCTCCATTTGGACGGGAGGCGCAACTGGGACGGCATTACTGGAAACAAAATGAACCAGCTCAGCAGCTTCCTTATACGTACGAGGACTGAGTTTGCCAATCTGATCCAGGATCATGCGTTCGCAACGTTGCTTATCACGAATCTGATCAAACCCATTGACAACAATGAAGATGTAAGCCTTCTCATGAGCAGCATTCAAGATGAACTCTTTGGCGGAAAGAGTAAAGTGGTTGGCGGCGGATACCACGAACACAACCACATCAATTTCCTCCTGCCGAGCGAAAACGGCCGTCGTCTTTAACGAGTCTGAGTTGAGACCAGGTGCATCGATTAAAGCGATATCCACCACCCCATTGTTGAGGAGAGATTCATCGATCGTTCGGACGTCCTTCACATAGACCTTGCATTGCATGTACTTGGAGTTGTCGATAACGATGTTTTCCAGTTCCGGGAGAGTGTACACATCGTAGGTACTTTCATCGTTGCGATTGTATTGCTTGTTCTTGTGTACCGCATGTACCTCCTCGACTCCACTGTTCTCTCGCGCATCGAGAACCTCGCAGAAAATGCTAGTGCAGGGTTGCTGATCTTCGGGAAGCACCTTGCGACGTAGCAAAGCGTTACAAAAAGTGGATTTGCCGGCATTCAAGTCTCCCGTGATTAGCACCTTGCTTGATGTGTCCTCGATTCTGTCCCGCAGAGAAAGAAGGTGTTTGATGCTCTGGCTGATTTTTCCGTCCAAAAGTGATGCAATCGAGGCCTTTTCCAGCGAATGTACCAACTCGGCCTGTGACAGAGCACCGAGCTTCAGATCCAACTTCAAAATCGAGAATTCCTGCGCAATCTGTGGGCTCATCAATCTTGGTTCCGGTGAAGGTCGGCGTTCGGCAGCCGCACTCGACTCCGCCAAGTCGTCGCTTCCGGACATCGTGGCTGCGCGTCGCATTTGTCCTGGCCGGGGGAAAGGCTCCGATTGATTGTGTTCACTTTCGAAATATGACTGACTCTGTCGTAGACCGGGTCTCTGCGAATCCGAGCCGGGGCTACCCGGAGCGCTCTGTACAGATGGATAGTGTGCTGGCCATTGGCGGTTCATATCCTGGAGCTCCTTCAACGTTTCAATCGTTCGGGAAATCGCACGCCCGAGTTTCGTCCGATTCGAGTTACTGGAAAGAAGACTTGTCAGCCACTCAAAACGAGTTGCAGCTAATTTGTCGGCACATACTAGAGTAGTTGATGAACATGGCTCGCAATAACCTGCTTCTCATGCTCGGCTGTATCAACCACACGTCAGCAACAATGCTCCAATTCCACTCCTTTATCATCCCAGCATGAACAGAACCACGAACCAGCTGGATTCCAATTACCAATACCGGGAGGTGTAGGCACCGGCGTCGGTTTATCAACCATCATATCCGCTCGCCACCCGGCCCCCTCATCACCATCCATCACACTTCCACTCGCGATACTGCCTCCATAGCCCGAATCCGCATTCAACGAAGCCATGAGAGCCGTGGCGCTCTCAGACGTCGACCCATTCCCGACAGTCATGTACGTAGGCGGGGGTCGTGGATAAAAAGGGTTGTTCTCCGAGGAAACATCCTCAGGAAGGTGCCGAGAGGATCCCTCTCCGGCCGATGCGCCCTTGCCGGGGAAATACTCCTGACTCATGACGAATATCGTGTGCGTTGCATCGACTTCGAGAATAGCAGGATGGAAGGGTGTTTGGCAGAAACGGGTTTAGGTGATGGCGATGGTTCCACCGGGAAATTTCATGACGGCAGGCGTTGGACTAGGCCCGAAAGGGGCTGGCGGCAGCATGTGACTCCCTCCCGCAGTAATCAATAATGGCCGCGTATTATTGCTCATTACCCCGTCAAGCCTCTGCTTAGGTGGGTTGATGTCACCGCATCACATTCACCGCAGGCTTCCATCTGATAAACATACTGCTGCGCATAACAATTGCCGTCTGTGAGGAGGCACGTTTAGTTTGCCCACTGTCTTCAATCGCTACATAGATCTGTCGTGCTCATCATGAATGTACGTGGTTCACCACACTACCTCTCGTTTCCCCACTTACAGGCCTCTTCTAGATCGTCGAATGGGCATTCGGGAAGCGCATGACGCCAGCGGAGCGTCTACGCAAGCATCAAAGAGCGCTCGATCGGACGCAGCGAGAACTAGACAGGGAACGAGTCAAGTTGGAGAACCAGGAGAAGAAACTGATTCAAGACATTAAAAAGAGCGCCAAAAATGGCCAAATCGGAGCCTGCAAGATTCAAGCAAAGGATCTAGTTCGGACGAGGAGGTATGTATAGCATAACTCCGGTCTTTTTTCCCTTCACTGTGTCTCTTGATTAATTTGTTGCTTGCGATTAGGTACATCCAGAAATTCTATCAAATGCGGACGCAGTTACAAGCCATTTCCCTCCGCATTCAGGTGCGGCAGCTGTTTGAGACCTGACGGATCAGTGCGCTGACATTGACATACAGACCGTTCGAAGCAATGAACAGATGATGCAGTCTATGAAAGGAGCCACGATGCTTCTAGGAAGCATGAATCGCCAGATGAACCTCCCCGCGCTTCAACGGATTGCGATGGAGTTTGAACGAGAGAATGATATCATGGACCAACGGCAAGAACTGATGGACGATGCCATAGACGAGGCTACAGGTATAGAAGGAGAGGAAGAGGAAGGCGAAGACATCGTGAAGGAAGTTCTGGATGAAATTGGTGTTGACCTCAGCCAGGCGGTAGGTTCCACTCAGCGGGCTACTTCTCATTCTTGCGCTTTACTGACATTTCTACCACAGCTGGGTGAAACCCCGTCAGATATTCAGAAGACATCGGTTGGCGAGACCAGAGTTGCCCAAGCGGTTGGAGCCGGTGGTGGGACTGCCAGCGATGACGATCTTCAGGCCAGGCTAGACAGCCTTCGACGGTAACGATACTACACTCGACCAAATTACTCCCTTACGCCTATACCGAATATCCACTTAGGAATATGTTCTATTGCTAGATGGCGTACTGGGGATATCATTAATGAGTTACGAATGTCAATAAATCCTTTTATCAGAGGTCCTGTGGTTTTGTCAGCATTCAGAAATCTACTTACAGTACGGCTCGCACGCTAGGTTGAAAATGATCTGATGGTAATCAAGTCGTGGATCTCTATGAGGAAAAACTAAAATTAGCTGGGAGGAAACAATTTCGTCGCAGTCATACATCGCCGGTGAAATGAAACGCTTGCCTGTATATTTTTCGCCGAAGAAAATGGAAGTCTATCACGCATTCTATGCGGGATCTGGTGAAACGCACCTCCAACTTCGCTAGACGAAATACTCGCGGGGTATATCTGGTCGCCTGAACAATTTGTCACCGTGATAAGCCCATTGGCCGAACCAAGGAAACGAAATCAGCTCGCTGAGTCTTGGTCGCTCCTTTGGGTCCCTTTGGAGCATCGTTCGCAGCGCGTCCACGCAGTCCTGCGACAAATCCTCCCGGACAGCCAATTCCTCGTTGATCATGCGCTTCCGTCTGGCATAAGCTGCGTCCCAACGGGGTCCTTCGTCGTATAGTTCGGGAGGCTCCTGCCAACGGCCATCGATAAGCCTACAAGCGAACTCGCCAACGGTCCTAATCTCATCGTCCCATTCCGGATCCTCCCAGGGTGCGTATCCGTGCAGCAAACAAAACACCTCCACAGCATAGTTCCAGAGTGCGGTTTGACGCGTATCATTTCTGCATTTGACTTGTGCGATTCCACGTGTTGTGTTTCTGACATGTCGGCGCCATTGTGGCTTCAGCAACTCGACTGCAACCTCTGGAGACAGTAGATATTCTTGCCAAAAGACGTAGGTGTGGGAGTTTTCCAGAAAGTCACGATCATCCAGCCCAAAGCCCATTATTCCAAAGTCGATGAGTTGTGTCTGTATTCAAGAAGAGACTGTTAGCCAAGCCCTGATGGTCAACTTCGGGGAATCGGAGACGAATTTGGGGAGGGAAAAAAAGAAGCAACAGAAGAAAAGCAAGCCTTGCATCTTCAACGGAACTGAAATTCTGAAATTTACTTACATCAAGATTCTCACCCACGAGGTAATTGCGATAGGACACGTCGTCATACGTGATGTTCATATCACGGAGGTAAACGATTGCTTCCAAGAGCTGCGTCGACACCTTGCAGGCCTGAAGCTCATTCAACCTTGGCTCCTTTTCACGAGTGCGGAGATGACCCCCTTCAATGGCCCAGACTTGGTCCGTCTCTTGCATTCCCTCTGAGAGTTGGAGTGTATCGTAATCGATACAAGCAGACATGACAATCGCGACCTTGTCCTTCTCAGTATAGACAGAGTGGAGGGTTGGAAACCTTGGGCTGCGAGTCAATAAGAGCATGATCATTGCTTCACACGGTATATAACGAACTTTTCCACCCTCTTCAAAGAACATCATTTCGGCTACATGTGACCCGTCACCCATGGCCGCAATGGTGTTGTGTTCGTTAATCTTGATGGCAAAGTTAGCCTGTCCGTGAGGAGTGTTTTTGTGGGCAAGGAACACGGTGCCGAAGCCTATATCAGGTCATTAGCTACCAGTCAAAGATCACCGAACACCCAGAGAAGAAACAGGTGGACATACCTCCAGAACCAATGCAACCAGATAGTCTCACCTTCCGACGAAGCTTGCGGCACATACCCTGGAGTCTTGCGTTGACAGTTGCGCGCCCACCCCTTGATCGTTCTATGGACCTGGCAACCTTCGTTTGGAAGGTATGGCTGTCAGGTCTGTGTTTCTTGGTCTGGTTCAGAGCGGCCGCGCCTAGGCCGTACTTGTGAGAGCACCGGGAGACCCGTCGTCCTCCCCTCAGATCCAGGCTAGTCTTCAATCGGCCCGCAATCACTCGGTGAAGAAGCGGGAATCTTTCTGAAACCGCACTCTCTGGCTGTATGAGAAGGGGAATAATTTTGTCCAACCGGCGGGTATCAGCAGGCATTCTCTGAGGGTTTATGCCCAAATCGGCGGTAGGACCAACACCATCCGAGTCAGTGTCGCTCCTGGTTGTATCATTTCGGGCAACAGTCAGATTTGTCGCATTGTTTGCATTCGTGCCATTCGTTCCATTCGTCCTATTTGTTCCGTCCGTCCCAGAGTCGTCGGGATTGAAGACCGGACTGTTCTGGGCGTATGAAAGTGCATCTCCCCGTGGGGTGACGCCGCGTGGGGTATATGTGCCGAACCTGAGCCCTGGGCTACCTGCAGCAGCTTCTTTTGGGGTGTTGTTTGAATCTGACATCCTAGCATATGCAAAAGCTGAAAAGGTCGTGTAAATAAAAAAGTCAATCTTGATGTGATGTTTCCTGGAATCTTCCCACAATCATACGCGGGGAATGCGTATGCTATATACCCTTGAAACGACATCTCTACCTTCATAGATTGCTTTCAGATCGTCTATGCCGCAGTCCAAAATTAGAACATTGATGAAGTTATCATGAGCCGGAGGTTGGTCCATTGTTCTGTGGTAGAGGGCAATACTCAAAGTTGTAGTTGATAAAGACATTGACCAGAATAACGAAATAAGCAGTGTCAACAAAGGGTTTCATGTTGAAATTTCGCTGAGTTCTAGACAAAGAGATTGCGGACATGGAGATCCTCTCTCATATGGAAGTCATTGTCCTCTCACAATTTGAAAGGGCTCTTTGGACACTCTTCAGCTCTTTACTGATTTCACAGAACAGGGTGCTCTCTTGTTGTGGTCTCCGACTGATAGAGATCTTAAGATTAGAATGACAAGGGAGCGTTTAAATTTAGATATTGTATGACAAAGAGCATCATTCATGCTATTATAATCGGACCTGCCATGTAGCTATTCTAAGTCAATCTTTGTTGATCTCCAAGGGCGTCCAGTTCCGTAACCCAGGCAGACAATGTCAAAGGGATCATCCATGAACCGGGACTTTTATTATTCGCCAATGGGCGTTCAAGAGTTAGTACTTTCAAGGAGGACAACTACAGTGTTCGTTCCTATTCATTTTCCTATTAGTTGTGTCCCCGCCAGGATATATCTCGCAATAAGACCACATAAGATGTCAAATGACTACTGATTTGAGGCCAGCATTGCTGCTAGTAAATCACAGTATTACAGTCCAGTTCAAGTCTTTCTAATATATATATAATCAATCAACTGACAGGACGATGAGGGCTGGCTCAGTCTGTCAGGGCAAAAAAAGGGTAAATTTTGCACACCAGAGTAACATAACCACTGGCCAAACGCCATTCACTCCTGTCCAAGGATTACTCCATGACTGATGACTATGAGCGATATTTTCGGTCAAGTTGGGGCCAAAAAAACAAAAACAAAAAAAAAAAAAGAAAAAATCCTTCTTGCAAGCCACAGCAATCATGGATGACTTGCCCTGCAGGTATTCAGTATCTCCAAGCAAGTCAAGAAGACTTGAAGAAACCAGGGAGCATATCCACTTGACATGTGGTCTGTGGGACCACAGACTTGCATGGTTATCCACTGATTACTACCGCAAGTCAAAGGCAAGGATACAGTAACTAGTTAGTTAGCTTAAATCATGATGACTATGTACGGTGGATGGCTGATGAGGATGACTGCACAAAGGCGCGATGGTGCCTGCTTTGAGCGTCTCTTGGCTGCAGGATCGAGCGG